CACTCTTTCACTGGCCCCTTATTTAAAATGTTAGTTTAAAAATGTGAGTGACTGACCTAAAGTAGACAGCTGGAAGATAATGTCATAACTTCAAGATAACTGGATTGGGAAGATACAGAGCCACATCTCAACTTTGCCGAAGTAAATTTTCCATAGAAATGTGCTATGATATAACTATAGTGTCTATAGCACTGATTCTCAACCAGGGTGTTGGGACACCCTGGGGTACCACCAGATCTTTTTAAGAGTGCCGAGAGCTGTGAGGAAATAAGTGAGGTGCAAGATAAACAGATAAACCAAACAGATAAAAGCAGGCTCAGGCTTGTCCCTGCCTGGATGATCCCCATGTCCACTGCCAGGCCCCTCTGCAAGGAAGCAAGCTATAGCTTTTGAAACCGGAGGCCACTGAATTCACAAAAAGTTATGGAGAGGTGCCTGAAGTCCATTGAGGGATGCCTTGAGTTCAGAAAGGTTGAGCACCACTAGACTAGGCAAAAGAACACTTCTGAAATTATACAGTGTATCCCTTATAACCCCTTAGTATTCAATTCTCTCACATTTTTATTCTCTTATTCCTGTTTTCAGTAATATATCAATTTTGTCTTGTTCTGAGACTCAGTCATGGACTTATTCTTTCTCATTTGATATCTTCTCTGAATAAATATTCCCTTTTATACCTTTTCTCTCCTTTTGTTTATTTTTCTTGCCCTTGTTTCAAGTTAAAATTGCTTCCTCTCATTTATAAGTTAGCTGATCTACCTCTGCATTTTTCTGTCCTTAAGTATTGTAATTGAAGGACAGTCTGACACAAAATGGCCATATGACTCAAAAGAGATATTCTTTAAAAAAAGAAACCTTTCGTTTGTTTTTTGTAGATGCACATACATTTTATAGATATAAAGTAATTTATGAGACAGTGGATAACAGTGACATTTAGCAAGTTTATATTAATGTGAATAATATATTTTTGTTTCTTTCCAGCTTACAGACTTCTCATTAAATAAGAAACCCAGATGCCTGTATGTATGTTATTTAATTTTTCTTGTATTTGAATATTTTAACATGCTTGCATTTCTGCTTTTGTTGTCTAAGCTTTATCCTGAGCCCATTACTCTGATATCCATGGTCTTTGGATGAAGTCCTGTATTTTGATATTATATATATTTTATTTAACGTAACAAAGGAAATCCAGATGTTTTACAAAATGAAAAATTAAACAATATATTCCTAAAGAAATAGATTCCTTTGGTGTCAAATAAATTACCACTTCCTGATTGACCACACGAGGTACTCACAAAGTTTGATAAACCAGCAGTTGAATCTAGACAATGAACATATGCTGAGTTCTGGATGAAAATGTCTTAACATTCTGTTATGAACATCCTCAAGGGAGTTCTATACATGCCATTTTCTGTGTAAAAGTAACATTGTCAACTTAAAACCACATATAAACAACTACATACCCTGATCAACAGGATCAGCAGTGTGTCATTGCAAATATCTTAAAGTATCAAAACAGTGTAAAAATGTAGCTTAATTTCACATTGTTTTTGGTGCTTTGTTGTTGTTGTTGTTTGTTTGTTTGTTTGGGGGGGTTGCATTTCTAAACTTGAATAATCCCTTTTGTGTCTTCCAGGTAGGCATGGTGGGAATTGTTATTTAACCCTGTTGGAGTTTGTGCCTTTAAAAAGAAAAAATTCTGTCTAATCAGTTAGTAAAAATCACTAAATGGTCCTCTCCTGGGTTATGTTCTAAAAGAGCGTGTTTGCATAAATATAAGCTTTAGCTTATGGTTCAGCTGACAGTCTCTCTCATTTTCAGGTTTCTATAACTATTAAAGTGATTGGAAGTGGGAAAAATAAATAAACATGATTGGCCAAATTCATTACTGGGCTGTATGAATGTAACTGCTGAAGTCAGTGGAGTTGCAAGCACTTTTGCCTGCATTAAACTAGGCCTAATATATCTTATTTCTGCAATCATGCATACTTTACTGAAATCACATATGGATAAGTGATGTGGAAATGGAAAATTGAAGAGACATTTGGCAGGACATGGCTCTTTTCACTGACACTAACTGGTTTAAATCTAGTGCAATATGATGAAGTCCAGAAATTACCCCCATCTGCTGGGAAATTAAAATGTCTCAGAGATCTGCATCTAACTACTTATTAGACAGCTGTCCCAAGAAAACTATCAGAACTGGTGCAACCTTGTAGACTGAATCAACAGACAGACTGAAGTACATGTAGAGTGCATTCCTATAAAACAGACTTAAAGCAGTGTGGAGAAGCTTCTGCTGGTGTTGCTACATCTATTCTGTGGATGAAAAGAAAATCTGTTTTGAAAGCATTAAATTAGCTTAATTTGTAAAGTCATGGCACATTTAAACAGGATTGCCATATCAGCTGAGTTGCCATGCTGAGCCTGAATATAACCGTAACCTAAATATATTTACAATTTAATGCAACTTCAACAACAACATAATGTTCCATTTCTGTAGGTTTTAATTTAAAAATATATTTTGGGTCATCATTTGGCCTCGCAAGAGAACCAGGTTTGAATCCTACCACCACTCTAAAGTGATGATCCTCAGTTGACATTAGTTACACCCACTGGGATTATGACTGCTGATACTAGGTGAGGATTTACCACCTGATCTAAAAGTGCACTGATACTGAAAAGGCTAAACAGAGAATAACATTTCTTATAGATTATCTAAATGCATCTTTCCTATAACAACTTTTTCTGTACTACTTCAACATCTAGCTGTGTAAATTAGTTCATAAAAGTAGATAAACTCATTTAACATGTTTAAAAGATATTTTGACTTCTGCCAGCAACTCCTTGGTGGATCTTCAGCTAGTATAAATCATCATCATTCCATTGACGTTGGCAGAACTATGCCAGTTTACATCAGCTCAGGACATGTTTCTGGTCTCTCATTTCATCCATTGTTCTCACCACTTATTTGACCACCAAGTTGTGGCAAGCAGACACAGCTTGCTGGGTGCAGTGACCTCTGTTCATATCTCTTGCTTCAGAGTGAGGAGGAGGTGTCCATTTTAGAAATGTGTTCTTCAGGTATTCCTTATAGAGACTAAGGGATTTCTTTTCTCCTTCAGGGGCACCTGCATGAAATCATCCAGAGTAATCAATAAAAGAAAACTATTAAGAGTAGAAAATAGAATTAAAATCAAAGAAACTATTTGCTAACATAACTACAATCTAAGCAAGGCAGGCATCCTCAGTTTAGGTACTTACAACTCTTAAAAGCAATCTCCTCTCTGACCAATCAGCTTCTTGTACTGATTGAATACTAACTACTGTAAGCACAGATGTCCATTATCAGTATCGTATCCAGACCTGCATGCATGCTGCAGAATTCTTAATCCAGGGTTTCTACCTGGTTTTCCAAACCAGTTTTTTTTCCCCAGTTTCCTACAGACACAAGAAAGTGTGGGCTTAGTAGCCACTTAGAAGTGGCCTGTTGAGGATGCAGAGGCCTTCAACAATGCTTAACAGGTAACTTTCAAAGACTTAGGAACCCAGTTAGATACTACACTTTAAAGAGGCTGCATATTTCTCCCAAATCAGTTTCATATGTAAATCCAAAAATGTTAAAAAGTCATTGTGCCCATCTCTGCTCGAAAAGGCATTCCCAAGCTGCTTTTGCTCGGGTGGCTGACCGGGTTTGCCCCGGTCTTGCAAGAGGGCCCCAGAGGGTGCCTCGGGTGACATTGGTGGACCCCCAAGACTCGCCTGCCTCAACTTTGAATGGACCTTCAGTGGTGGGGGTCCCCTTCGACACAGCCTCCAGGGTTGTCACGCCTTCGACGGGCGCTCACGGGGCTCCAACCTCCCCTACACCCTGGCCAAACGCCACCTTCTGCCGTGGATCTCTCAGCTTCTTCTTACCGGCCCCGCCTTGTCTCTTCCCCAGTCCCCGACCAGCTTGTCTCGCTGACCTAAGCTGGGCTTTAGTCTGAGGGCTACGAGACCCGAGGTCCCGTTGCCCCTGCGGGCTCTGTCTCCGGCTTCCCTGCCAGTTCTCCCTCCGGTTCCTTCACCGGCTTCCCTGCCAGCTCTCACTGGTTCCTTCACCGGTTTCCCTGCCGGCTCTCTCACCGATTCCTTCACCGGCTTCGCCGCCGGCTCTCTCACCGGTTCCTTCACCAGCTTCCCAGCCAGCTCTCTCACCGGTTCCTTCACCGGCTTTCCTGCCGGCTCTCTCACCGGTTTCTTTAA